CAGGGGCGAGGAAGCCGCAGATTTGGTGGAGGCGCTGCAGCCAATGCCTTCGCCTGGAGCGTTTCCTTCAGTGCCTAGTAGTATTGAACCAGCCGAAGAGGCGACAAAAAGCCACGCAGGACTATCTGGCACCATGTCAGAAGGCACAATGCACTCAGGACCACTTTCGAGTTCTGAGCCGTTACAAAGTGATTCTCCCCGCGAGGTAAGGAGGGTTGGCCAATGCATTAACTCAAAGGTTGTCCCAAAAATTGCCGCTAGCCATGCAGTGGCATGAAGCTCCTCATGCTTTTGTTGTAATGAAGGGTGGATTGCTGTGTGGCAAATGCGTGCTGTGGAATAGCGATCAGGAGAGGAGTGGCTTCGAATACCTACTGGTGGACCTTCCGTGGCTCCAGAGCAAGGCCTGGCATCAAGCATGCTAGGAGCATCCACTCTTCGAAGTTTATTGTCATCAGTTACATCCCATAGTGACACAACCAGTCTTTCGCAGGGCGCGATTGAGGATTCGATTCAGGCAAGCGAATCAGCTCGTCAGCTGAGTTTCTTCCTTGTCGTTACGCCAGTGGATCAAGCGTAGCTTTGTCGTGCCTTGAACAGTTGCTAACTAGTTGCTTTTACCCCTGGCTGCTGCCTGAAAAAACCACGTTGCTACTAGAAAATTGCAGTGGGGATGAAGGAATTGCTGTGATTGTGTTATGTTTTTCCCAGTCCCTGTCCCAACGGGCTCAGCTGGCAATCAAAGATCTGTTTGATTCTCGTGAGTGGCTCCAAGAATTGCTAGGGAGAGTCCCTGACCAAGTCCTCGCTACGTGTCCATTCTACCGTTTTCCCATGAAGCAACTAAGCCTGGCAACTTTTAGCATGGTTATACCAGAAATATTGGCTGCCAATATGAAGGATGCGGTTGTGGTCCTCTCCGAATGCATGCGACTACTGAAGAAGACGTCGCTATCCCTTGAGGAGACTAAAGCCCTTTTGGGCTACACGGAGCGTCTGTACGGATACGCAACCACCACGATGCCGGGTGCAAGAGGAGGTTTCGCAGCTATACAAACTATTGACGCTCTAGGGAGAGTGTTGTTTGTTCTCGATACGCTGCATTGTGCAGCAGAAGTGCTTGGAGAAGCTTCCAACTAATATCTGTGGTGGCCCGTAATAGTCCAGCACATAGAAAGTGGGCGGTACCTAGGAAGGCTTACATATAAACCTCCAAGGAGATCAAACTGGATTCACCCCACCTTAAAGGCGCTGGATGTTGCGTTAGACTACTACAGGATAGGGAAAAGGCCTCCGGTTCGCCTTTTGGTCGGACTAAAACTGGCCCTTCTGCTACAACCCCAGTCAACGAAGTTCAACAATCCTAAGTGGGATCCTTGGAGGGCAGAATCGCAAGCGTGGATCGAATCGATACAGCGAAGCACACAGACGAGCGGTCAGTCAACATAGAAGCCAACACGCCTCAGCGTGAATCTCGCTCGTCAACGTGGTACAAATGTGGCCCTTGTTCCGCATTCCGCTGCAGTCGGAAGCGGGGCAACTGCAAAGCGGAGGAGGTGCGTACGCAGAATGACGGCCGATTGCTGTTAAGCCGTCTCCATTTGCCTTTGAAAGATAGTCCTCCACGCTCAAGGAAATTCCGATCTTTGTAATCGTACAGAGAAATTATATACGCAATCACCGGTGCCGTCGACGCACTGTTACGGGTTCGGGTTGGCTGGAGGAAGTCCCTTGGTGAGGCATACCTAAGTAGCTGAATTTGGCACCTCCA